GAACATCTGCACTGTTAATACAACACTTTTCCCATGGGATCACCTAAAGCCTCATCATATACAAAGAGTAGTTTACTTAATGATATAATATATATCAATGGAAACTCAGACAATAGTTGTTTTCGCAAATACAAAGTGTCCAAGGCGACCTTAAAGTGTACGTGAACCAGAAGTTGCTGAGACTTTAATTTCAGTGTGTTGATGTCATTCCAACTGAATCAGAATATTGAGTAGGGGGCGGGGCTTTCTTTGCGCATCATTCAATCATAGCAAACTAACGGTAAAAGAGGTGTGGTTACGAATATTGTGGTTAAAGATGTCAAACTGATGTAAACAGAGAAGCTACAAACGCATAAGTAAATGGACAAACTTAATTATCTTGCACTGATTAACTGCTAAAGAATGACAATGTGCGCTAGCTATATAAAAACTTTAAATTAGGTTTCACACAGGCTTTAAACAGTTGATAAATTAGGGAAATAAATTACCAAAATAAACAAACAGTCCTTGTCAAAAAGTACAAACACATCTGAACTGGCACAATCGTTTCCATTGGATAATTTTGTAATCCAACCTGGAGTGTTCCACCATTCCACCACACTTCATCTGGGTATTTCAGGTGCACTCACTTTTATTATTATTTTTTTTCATTTTCATTGTAAACACACTACACTACCTGACAAAAGTCTTGTTGTCTATCCAAGTTTTAGGAACTGCAAATAATAACTTCTAGTTTATCTTTTGGTATCAGAAGTGGCTAATATGAAAGGCAAAGGCTTTTAAATTACGCTTATTTGACCAAAATAAAAAATGTTCATGCCTTGATTTTTAATTATTTATTTAAGTCTTGTCACCTAACATAAATAATGTACACTATAGAATATAAAGTCATGGTGCAGTGGAAAAATAATGAATATTGTGTATGACTCCCATGAGCTTGGAGGACTGCATCCACACATCACTGCAATGACTCAAATAACTTATCAAAAAAGTCATCTGGAACGGCAAAGAAAGTTTTCTTGCAGGACTCCCAGAGTTCATCAAGATTCATTGGATTCATCTTCAATGCCTCCATCTCACCCCAGACATTCTCAATAATGTTCATCGCTGGTGACTGGGCTGGCCAATCCTGGAGCACCTTGACCTTCTTTGCTTTTAGGAACTTTGATGTGAAGGCTGAAGTATGTGAAAGAGCACTATCCTGCTGAAGAATTTACCCTCTCCTGTGGTTTGTAATGTAATGGGCAGCACAAATGTCTTGATACCTCATGCTGTTGATGTTGCTACTCTGCAGATCTCTCACGTGCCCTCATACTGAATGTAACCCCAAACCATGATTTCTTCTTTACCAAACTTGACTGATTTTAGTGAGAATCTTGTGTCCATGTGGGTTCTAATAGGTCTTCTGCAGTATTTGCGATTATTTTGATGCAGTTCATTAGGTGATTCATCAGAAAAATAGATAGTGTACACTATTTAAACTACAAAATGGCATAGAATAGTATACAAGTATGTGATTTGGGATGCTCCAACCTGATCTCATAAGAAAACATAAACTATCTGATGCTTTGTCAGTAAGTGGTTAATTCATACGATGTTCAGTCATATAAAAATGTAAGATTTTTGAAAGAAGCTGTGGCAATAATAAACCTCCCCCCTAAACTCAAAAGTAATTCGGGGATGAGCAAATTGAACTTAAATGTACTAATTAGATCATACAAATTCATGTGAATAAGCCACTATATCAAAAAGTTACGATTTGGCATGAGATAGCATTGGATGCACCAAAAATATAATAGTGCTGTAGAAGGTTAAAGTATCAATGTCCAAGTTTATGAGCAAAACAAACATTATTTCAGTCTTTCTGCTTTTTCTCATGTTTAACTCAGTCTTACTTGTCACTGCTTTGAAATTGTTTGTGAAATTTAACCTGTTAGTTTTTATGATACACTGAGTGCTAAACACAAATAGGCAACAGGAATGCTAAGGGGTCAACAGTTAAACATAAACCATTCAGCTTTTCAATCACACAGTAGAAACTCAATGCACTTATGACTTATTGATGATCTGCTAAAATTCAAACTCAGTATCAAAATGGGAAAGAAATATGATTTTGAATGTGTTGTGGTTGTTGGAGAGAGACAGGCTAACTATTTCAGATATTGAAAATCTACTGATATTTTCATGCACAACCAACTCTAGAGTTACAGATAATGGGATGAAAATGAGAAAATGTTCAGTGAGTTATTCAGTTCTGAGAATTCAGAGGAATATTTAGTACTGTGTGTGAAAATGGCTTGTTTATGGCAGAGGTCAGCGGATAATGATAATGCGATGGTTTGATAACAGTATATTCTGACTTCACAATACAACGTGGATCCTTTATGGCACTGCACGATAAAATTTCTGATGCAATCGAGCTGCTATATGTAATCATATTCTCATATTAACATACAGTTACATCATCAACTGGATCTAGTATTAGCTATAGTGTTTTCCTACTGACTGTGCAATTTACCTAACATGATTTATAATATTGTTTAATATAACTATAACTTAAATGACTGAGCTTTTTCTGCAAAAACCATCAAATTTTGTACCACCTCTGCCTTTTGACACAAATCAGGCAGGCAGTCACAACAAGCACTGCTCATGTGTTTAATTACTTTTAATGTTAGCCTTCTTAAATAAAATTACTTGAGAAAATGAACACAAAAAGTGTTTGTTTTAAGTAGTTTGTTTTTATGATGTTTTACTGGAAAAAGCCTGAATAACAGGTAACATTTAATGGTCTCAACTATTTGGCCATATCTCGTTCTGCTATTTTTGCACATCAGAGAAGTCAAACATATGCTTGTCCGGCTGGCTAAGATGAAAAACAAACACAGACAACAGTAATTTAAATAACCAAAGGTTTGGAGAAAAGCATCTCCTAATACACAACAGATCTAACCTTAAAGCAGATGAGCTAAAGCAGCAGCAGAAGTAGAAGAAGAGCACACCGGGGAAACTCCTGTAAGTCAACAACAGAAAAGAAAAAAAAAAACATCAAATTTTGTACCACCACTGCCTTTTGACAAAAATTGGGTAGGCAGTCACGACTACCGACAGACCCCAAGTGAAGCTCAAGCTCAAGTCATGTGTTTAATTACTTTTAATATTAGCCTTCTTAAATAAAATAATGTTTTACATGAGAAGATTACTAAATAAACACAAAATGTGTTTGTTTTAAGTAACTCACATTTCATGATGAGGATACTAACACAAGCGACGCAATGGTGCAGTAGGTAGTGCTGTCGCCTCACAACAAGAAGTTTGCATGTTCTCCCTGCGTTCACGTGGGTTTCCTCCAGGTGCTCCGGTTTCCCCCACAGTCCAAAGACATGCAGTACAGGTGAATTGGGTAGGCTAAAATTGTCTGGTCCATTTCTGGTTTTGCTTTTTTTTTGCACAATCACTAATCAGAGAAGTCAAACATATGCTTGTCTGGCTAGCTAAGATGAAGAACAATCTGATATGAAGACAACAGTAAGTCAAATAACCAGAGGTTTGGAGAACAGCATCTCCAAGCACACACACATCAAACCTTGAAGCAGATGAGCTACAGCAGCAGCAGAGGAAGAACAGCACACGGGGGGAAACTCCTGTATGGCAACAACAGCAAAACAAAAGTTACAATTTACACAGGCTCATCAAAATTGGACAAAAAGATCAAAACTGACTGTGCAAACAGATGAGTCTTAATTTCTGGTGTTACATTCAGATGATATAAACGTCCTAAAACTAATGCAGTTCTGAATGCTAAAGGAAACCCAATCCATTACTGGGAATGTGGACCTAATATAGTGAACACTGAGAGTGCAACATAGTGCATACACAGTTGATTTGATAAGACAGATTTTTTTCCCTTGTGTACTCCAACAAGTGATTCAAAACTTCAAAGTAAACATATTGATACCAATGTAGTTAATTTGTAGTTTTGGACAAACTACAAAAGAACACTAACATCAGATTAGATTAGACCTAACTTTACAATCCCTATATGTACTCACCGACTCTGCAAATGTTTAATCTAATCTGATTTCAAAGCTGTGGCTAAATTGACAAACTAAACATTCATTCATTAAATTTCTATCAGCGTAGTCCCTTTATTCATCAGGGGTCGCCACAGTTGAATGAACCGCCAACTTATCCAGCATATGTTTTACACAGCAGATGACCTTCCAGCTGCAACCCAGTACTTGGAAACATCCACACACATTCATTCACGCACATAGGCCTACACTACGGCCAATTTAGTTTATTCAATTCACCTGTGGCGCATACCTTTGGACTGTGGAGGAAAGCTAAGCACCCGCAGGAAACCCACATGGACACGGCAAACTAAACATAACAATTCAAAAAAATATACTTTAAAGAGAGAAACAGGATAAAAAAAAGCTACTAACAGCAAATTTTACAGAGTAAATCATATTTTAGATAGATTAATAATATATGCATATTTAGATAAAATACATTGTATTGTTTTACATTAAAATATAAAACTAGCAGCCATTTAAATTTCTAGATTGTATCTTAAAAATGCATTCTAAAATTCCTGAGCCTTGTTATTCATAACAAGATGCCACTATCATTGTCATCAAAAGTAACAGTTAAAAAGTCATCTGTCTTTTGTTTTTACCATTCCATCAACAGTTTTAGTGTAAGTATTTGGCAAGGCGACAGGATTAAACATTAAATCTCCATTTACCAGTTATATTTGTTGAGCTGTACAGCTTTTACTTGTTTAGTGTAGATCTGTCGATATGAAAATGAATCATTTACTAAAATACTATACCATTAACGTCACCTTTAACGTAGAAGCAGTGAATGGAAACGCCCTGGAAGCTGGTTGGTCCTTCAGCTGAATGGGTGGATAAAGTATGCGTGTTACTATTTGTTTATGTGCCTACGTCATAATCCCCCCTAGCCACAGTGGCCAGCGTCAAAACGTAGAAACCGGAGCCGAGGCTGATCATTTGCACTCGGGCAGACAAAGTAAATACAACAAACCGAAGTTCCCTGCATCACAAGCCAAGAGGTAACTATTTACTCTTTTACATTCATTCGACGTCAGCTATTGAGATAAATAAGACGGTTTGGTAAAAATCCATTATGACTCCACATCCACAATGGATCAATGTGGATCCTTTATTGCACTGTACGCTGAATTTTCTGATGCAATCGAATCGCTTCATGTAATCATATAACGTTACTCGTGCCCATGTACAGCTACAACGTTAACGCTAGCTTTTAATGTCTGCATATTACATATGTTAGCTACATTATTGTGAATAAAAACGATATGCAAAAATATGTGTAAAATTGTAAAGTGGACCAATGCACTCTTGTCAACAGAATAAGGAGGAATATATGTGGATTTGCTGTCAATATGATGAAATTCATAATTAATTAAATCATTTATTCTTACTCCTTCCTGCTAAATTGTTTACATGTAACATTACCAGTATTGAAATATTTACATGTTATACTCCGTGCTATGAACATAACGTTATTATGATTAAACAGTTATGACATTGGCTATTTTAAAATGCAATTTACATATATAACCGTGATATAATAGTCACAACAATTCGTCTGTCTGTTATACTTTTATTTTGCAGGATTATTTATCGGAGGTTCAAACATATGTGTGTCTAGCTCGCTAAGACAGAGAACGTACAGCATTCACTTCTATATAAATTCAAAGCCTGTCTTGCATGTCTCGTTGTTATGTCTAAATTTGCACTATATTTGATTCAAATTGTTCGCAAAACGCCGTGTTTTTATTTTCGGCGCGATTCATTCATTCACCCGAGTTCCCGCTCGCTGGGCACATTTTGTATTGTAGTTGACGTCACTTACCCGGAAGTTGTAACGTTATATGCTGTAACAATTGCATCAGCCCAGAACTGACTGGTACCGGTTCTGACTGGCCGGGTCTCATGCCCACCCCTTTACAAATAATGAGTTTGAGTATTACGTCAAAAGTAATATTTGATTCACCCCGTGACGTTCGTTGTGTTTGTATGTGTTTTTGTTGTCATGTGTTTTACACAAGCTGAAAATGTAACTTTAAGATAGTGGCTTTGTTTTGGTAACCAACACATTTGTTTAATTTGCTTCACGTGTTGTTTTTATTTGTTTTCATACATTTTACAACTTTTTGGACTGCTTTAGCACATGAAATGTGGTTTGTATATTACGTATACAGTTCATTTTTTGTGACTTGTCACTAGGATTGTGAATGTAGGAATTAAAAAATGTAATTACCAACTCTTTACCTAATTATTTAAAGTTTTATTATAATATTTTAAGAACATTCAGACTCTTGTCTTTGCAGTGGTTTTCATCACAGAACTAAATGCTTGAAGACTTGATTGACTATTATTTTAAATTAAACAATTTCACAATAATCGACCTATAACAGATTTTTATATTATAGCACTCTATTGTTTGGTAACACTTAACAGTAAGGTTGCATTTGTCAATGTTAATCTAGTCTGTCGATTAAAAACTAGTTAATTTCTTAGTTAATTTTTAATCACGTCCAGTAAAGTTGATGTTATCAATTGGGAACCCTTGTCACTTGATTTTTGCAAACAGTATTGTGGAAGTAATAAATTACAAATGTAAACATTCAATGTGAAAATTTTTTTTTAGTAAAAGGCAATACAGTGCTTCAGTGGTAAGCACTGTCGCCTCACAGCAAGAAGGTTGCTGGTTCAAGTCCTGACTGGGTCAGTTGGCATTTCTGTGTGGAGTTTGCATGTTCTCCTTTTGTTCGCGTCTACGGGTTGGGGTCTAACAGTAATCAGGTACAGAAATGGAATAATCTCAATGCAAAAAAATGCATTTCTTACTTTGCTTTGTCTTGTCTCTTGTTCAAATATCTAAAATCAAGTAAAAATATTGTTTTGTTTTTGCCTAAGCGACATTTAAATGTATAAATATTCCTTGTTTTATAACAAGCTGTTCACACATTCCTAATTTAAAAAAAAGTAAACCACAGATAAAAAATCTCAAGCTTCAGCCCTCAAGCTTGAAGCGTCTCTGGTTGGTATTTTGCACAATCTTTGGAGCCCCTTTAAAAGGGGTCTGTGTGATGGCATCTCGCCAACTATTCGAGAGGTTGCCAGGTTCATTCACAGCAGCATGTGCCACCCTGAGGCCTGAATAAGAACCTTTCATAACCACGAACACTAGAGTTCTCCCAGAAAGAAGCTCTCATGCTGGTTTCTGCTTGTAATATGGCACCAGTGGGCTGTGGACACCTAAAGAGCTTTGCAGTATCTCCTTGTCATTGTTTGCTATGAGAAGACACGTATTCCTGTTCTGTGTTAATGTTCACCACATGCAGACACCTAAATGTCCATTTACCCACAGATATCATGCTTCTAGGCTCTGCTTATCAGAAGTAATACTAGCCCTGGCTTAGTCAGAAGCAGAGCATGAGAGAGTTTTTCCTTTAAGGATTTAGCAAATCCTGTTATGAGGGGTAACAGTAATACATCTAAATGTTTCTCGAGTTGTCAAACGTAGCATCGATCGTATCACGAATAGTTCACAGTATATTGCTGCATGCCCATTGTTTGAGGAGAAAACAAACTGATTATGCTTTGGATATTGGGTTCATGGTGTTTGTTTTGAAAGTTCCGATGATGGACTAACACATTCATTGACCTGCAATACAAAATCCATTGTGCAGAAAGCAGAACCAAAACAAAAACAACACCTAATGTAAGCCAATCGAAAGCCTCGCTCTCCCGTTAAGAAGGTTAACCGGTTGGCGGGTCTTTGTGTAAGCCTCTTAGAATTCATTGAGGTATTTATTTTGAGAAAAGCCCAGTGAGTCACTTCAAAACACTAGGATCACACATACACACACTGTTAATGGGTAGTTGAATCTTTAATGTACACGATGACTGTTTAAAGATAGTAATTAGCCTGTGCTTTATCTTAGCTTTTAGCTGGTAGCATTTTTGATATCGGTTAACACACCTTGAACCAGATTTACTTCCTCTTACTTTACAAACATTTTGTTAGTGTCATAACTATCTGGATTTACTAAAGATGCAGTGTAACATTGAATCACTACTATAAAAATCTTTTATCTGGTTAACAGTAAGTTTCATTCGTAGTTTATATCTAGCGAATAACCATGAATTGTCTTTCCCAGAATTCCCTGCATGATACTTCACTTCATCTGTGATGTACGTTAGAGTTTTATGTTACATCAAAAGTTGATAAATAATGTGTATTGCATTACTTTAGTGTCAAAGGTGTTACCATGATGGTATTTAGTAAAACACCTTGGCTGCATTCGAAACCGCTTACTACTTAGTAGGTACTGCATTTGAATTTAAACGCACTACCCGGCTGTTAGAAAAGTACGTTCTATAAAGTATGAATGTGAAAAGTATGAATGGAATTCGGATGTACTACATCCGCCATTTTGTAATAGTCACGTGACCTACCTGCGTGAGTTGTGTCGCTTCACTCCCATTCTTGAATTCTCTCACGGCGCATCATGGGATATCGCAGCTGCTTGTTTGCCTTTTGATTTGCTTTGGTAATGCACTGCATAAAATATTATGTAAATGAGCTGTTGCATCAGTCAGTGTTCTTTTATTTGCGCATTGATAATAGAATCATTTAAATTACATTTTTCCTCCCACTGTGCTGTCAATAGATTTGAACTTTGAAAAAGGAGCTGTAAAAACTGAAATTTCTAGTCAATATACCAACAATATTATAAAATAGGAATAATTACATTTATTAATAGTAATAATAATAATGATTATTATTATTATAATTAATAATAATTATTATTACATTATCATCATTAACTTACCCTTTACACCAACCTGTTTGTTTTTTTATGTTGAACACAAGAATATATTTTAAAGAAAGTTGGACACCTCTAACCATTGACCTCTAAAGTATTTGTCCTCCATCCTATATGTCAATGGTTATCGGTTTCCAGCTTTCTTCTATCTTACTGTTGGTTTAACAGGAAAGAAAAGAAAATCATAAAGGTTTGGAACCACTTAAGGGTGAGTAAATGGCAATTAAATGTAAGTTTGTACACTTGTTAAAAATGAATTGGCAGAAAGTCAAGACAACACATATTTTTATGTTGATTTAACTTAACTTAAAGTTAATCAGGTTTAAACATTTTCAGTTAACCTAATACTTTTATTTAGTTTGATTAATGAATTTATTTATTTAACAGGGACATGCACAAAAATTACATTAACCTCAAAAAGGAAAGATGCATTGTGCCAGGTTGTAGCAGGTTTTTTTATTTTCCACCTGCAGTGACTGGACAAGTAAAAAGTAAAACAATCAATCAATTCATTAAAAGTCAGTTTAAAACATACAGTTATAATCACATATAAACTAAAACGCTGACAAATCCAAAACATCTCACTCAGTGTGTACAAATTTGACTTGACAGAAACCACCTCCTAGTCAGGCATGAAAACATCTTATATTTCGTACATGTGATCATTTCTGTTGGGAAAAAAATCCATAGATTTGTGGCTTTATAGATAAAATAATTTTATCATTTGCGATGTTTTCTCTAATGTGGAACTTAACATTTTTTTTTAACGAGGGAGCCGAAAGATTGTGAATAATTTAAAAAAACAATACAAATATTTAATAATATCAAACTTAAGAGACTATGTTTTTTAATATATAACAGTGATGGTACAACCGTGGCTTATTATTTAAAGTTTTAAGTACTCTTTTTGTATAATGATTCCAACAGTGTTAAAGATGATTTATATGCCTGAGACCAGCTCGTTATACAGTGCAACAAATATGGCTCAATCCTATATTTAAATACATACCTGAAGCCTCATTAGTCAGAGAATCTCTAATACGTAAAAAAAATTCTTAAATTGAATCTCAGTGTGGTATAGGGCTGAGCGATTTAATCGAAATCGATTAGTTAATAGCAAGAGACTGCAATATAAAATATATATGTAAGCAAAAATAATGAATGACATCTGAGGTGAGTTGCTTCGAAATCAG